TCACAGGCGGAGGGGAGGCAGGAGCCGTGCAAGCTGGCCCAGCAGCAAGCGTCCCCACGCTAACCCCCTGCTCACATGGACCAGTCCATTCACACGAAGGTCCAGATCTGACTCTGGACAGACCCTCTGGGATTCCACTCATGTGAAAGCCGAAAACAGGCCCCACTGGCCCCAGCAAGTCAGAGCAGGGCTTTGAGCATGAGCATGGCATTGAGCATGCCAGCAGGGCTGGAACTCCCCGCTGGGACCTGGGGCGGTTCACAGGCTTCGATGGGTCAGAATTCCCATGCTGCCTCTGAAGATTGGTGTCTTTACCTTGTGAATGATACACTCCAATAAAACATTTCCTCTCTCCCCAAAAGTGCATTCAGGAAGGAGAGACCTGGACCTCAGCTCCTCCACCACAAGCCCAGAAGGGGTGGCGGCCCCAGGGGAGGGAGTGTCAGTGTGAGAACCTGCTTTCTGCCAGCTCAAACGAACTCTGTTTCTCAGACTAAAAGCTGCCCAGGCTTTATGTTAGCTTCTTGAGCCGGACAGACTCCATCTCAGCGGCTTCATTTTAGTTGTTTTCCCCCATTAAGTATGTAGCTGTAGTATGTAGCCGGGGCAGGCTGGCACTGGGCACCCAGGAAGGCGTTTGTTGATAAGAGGCTGAGGTAAGTTGTACCAGCGGAGCCTGGGCATGCAGGTGCCGTCGAGCCCAGAGCCCCCGTTGCCTGTAAGTTCTGTGTCTTTCATGACGGCTTCACCCCTCGCACCTGGCACTGTTTATTTCTCATGTACTAGTTTATCTTTTAACTTTTTGCTTAATCTGCTTTTGTGAAAAATTTGCTTCAGCTAGGTTCCCCCTCCCTTTAAAACTAGGATATAAAAGACCGCCTAACTTTTTTGTAGGGGCCGAGAGAATTTTGGGCATTAGCCACCTGTCGGTCGTTGGTATAATAAATGACTCATAATTCAATCTGAGCGTGGTGCATTCCTTGACTCACTCTGGTACAACATTTTGGAGGCCCCAGCGAGATTTTTGTTGCCACCAGAGGTTACCGGACTCATTCTGGCCTTCCCCAGATGAACGGTGGCCTATAGGGGAGGCGCCCCCTGAGACGTTTCAGGGCCCCGTAGCCCACCACTGTCCAGAGGGGAACGGATTGACCACTGGTGTGCCCACCAAATTCGGTTCCTGAGTCCTCTGTCTCTGGTCCCGGGAAGGTAAGTCAGATCTGACTCTGTCTGCCTCTGGGAGTGAATTGGTCCTGACAAGGGCCTTCCCTCATGACTCTGCCAGCACTCCAGGATGCCAGAGGACAGAGTTTTCTGGTAGCTCTGCCAGCAGTCCAAGACACTGGAAGGCAGAGTCTCGGTTTCTGCTAGTGAGTGTCTCTGGTTTCTCTCTCTCTTTCTTGTTCAATTTAGAGCAGCCTCTATCTTAAAATGGTATAAGCCGGGCGCGGTGGCTCAAGCCTGTAATCCCAGCACTTTGGGAGGCCAAGGCTGGTGGATCACGAGGTCAAGAGATCGAGACCATCCTGGTCAACATGGTGAAACCCCGTCTCTACTAAAAATACAAAACATTAGCTGGGCATGGTGGCAATGCCTGTAGTCCCAGCTACTCAGGAGGCTGAGGCAGGAGAATTGCCTGAACCC